ATTCAGGTGATGGGGAAGGGAGATAGTGAAGACAATATCAAGATTTTTGTTTGAATGAATCATATTTCTGTTTCCTACTTTTTTATTCTCACCTAAGGATACTTTCTCATTGCTTTTAGAGAGAGGAAGGGAGAGAGAAAAACCTAATGTGAGAAAGAAACATTGACTGCTTGCCAACCATACGTGCCTGGACCAGGGATCAAACTTTCAACCTGGGTATGTGCCCTGACTGGGAATCAAACACGCAACCTTTTGAGTACAGGACAATGCTCCAACCCATTGAGCCACACTGGCCAGGGCTGATGGATCATATTTCTGATGACCAAATAAAGAATGGGGAATTTTGGTAAGAAAAATGGCTACACACTCATACTTGGAAATGCTGAATTAGAGGTGTCTATGGGAGTCTAATTGAAAATTCTAGGACACATCTATATACAAAGGACCAGAAGTTAGGAGACAAGTCAAGAATGTCGACATTCTTGGGGCTATTTAAACAATGCTCTAGATATGGATAAGACATTCTAAGGATAGTATGTGAACACAATGAAGTGCTAAAAAAAAAAAAAAAAAAAGAAGAGACCTTCACATAAAGTCTGAGAAGAAAAAGTCATGTGAAAAGGAGAAAAACTGAAAAAGTCCAAGACGCCAAGACAGGAGAGAACTTAAAGAGCACTGGAGTGGATAATGGCATAAAATGCTGCAGAAGGCCAACAAGATGAAGATTAAAGATAATGTGTTGGATTTAGCAATTAAAGGTTGTTGTGATTGAATAAAACTATATAAAAAGACAACTATGTATTGCAACATGTTTGGTACATATTAGTAGTAGGATTCGATAAGTATTAGAATATGAATAAAGAAAGCTTCCTAAAGATGAATGAACTGTGAATTCTCTGACACAGGAAGTCTTCAGGCAAAAACTGACCCCCTGTTACAGGTACTACCAAGAGAGGTTCCCTGCATTGAGCAGAAAGTTAACTCAATGTCCTTGAAGAGCCTTTGTAACTCACAAAGTCTATGAAACCCAAATAACTCTGCCTAGCAGAGAACTCAGGAAAAGAAAAGCAAAAAAATTTTTTTGAATGATTAGGACTCTCCCAAGAGATCAAAATAAAATATGTGAATGAGAGAATAAGAATGAATATACCTCTAGGAAAACATCTATTATTAGATCTTAGATTGAACATAGGAAAACAGAGATATGATTTTTAGGTTTCTATGAATAATGCAGAATTCATTTGAAAGGATAACTTTCAATCATCTTTAAGCAGATAAGTGTTATTTTTGCACTTTTCAGGACAAGATATTCAAGTATTGGACACTCTGTTTTGTTTTGTTCACTTACTATTTTCAGTGTTGTACTTAACACTCTCATCGCTCTCTGCCTAACAGCAAAAATATATACACTTTCGACAGTTCCAGATACCTGTAGTCAACTGTGATCTGAAAATATTAAATGGAAAATTCCAGTAATAAGTTTTAAATTGCAAGCTCTTCTGCATAACACGATGAAATCTCATGCCATCCAGTTCAGCCTTGCCTAGGACATGAATCATTCCTGTGTCCAGCATCTCCATACTGTACACACCATCAGCCCATTAGTCACTCAGCAGCCACCTGAGTTATCAGATTTATTGTCATGGCATCACAGCACTTGTGTTCAAATGACCCTCATTTTACTTAAAAATGGACCCAAATGCAAGAGTAGTGATGCTGGCAATTCAGATATTCCAAAGAGAAGCCATAAAGTGCTCCCCTTCAGTGAAAAGGTGAAAGTTCTCCACTTAATAAGAAAAGAAAAAACATTGTATGTTGAGATTGCTAAAATCTATGCTAAGCACACATTTTCAATTCATGAAATTGTGAAAGAAAAAATATCATACTAGTTTGTTAAGATCACATTTACATAACTTTAATTGCAGTACTAATATATTGTTATAATTATTCTATTTTATTATTAGTTAGTGTTGTTAACTTCTTAATGTTTCTATGTGTAAATTAAACTTTATTACAGAGATGTGTATATATAGGAAAAAAATGTAGTACATATAGGCTTCAGTGCTATCCACAGTTTCAGGCATCCACTGAGGGATTTGGAACGTATGCCTGAATGATAAGCAGGGACTACTATATATATAATTATAGACTTTGAGTTTTCCTAAATGGAAACAATTACAGTTGTACAGACCTGAGCTCCAGATGATTCTTTGTATCTCTTCTCTTAACTACGCATCAGGGGTATATTTAATCAATCCAGTGAAAGCATTTGTTAACAAAAAGAGGCTAATCAACTTGACACTTATATGTAAAATTCAACATCTAAATTTACTTTATTTCTCCAAAGGGAATACAGAGAAAAGAGGCAAATTGCAGATCACCTACAAAAACCCTTATTAGTAGGAATTCTGGAGAACCACTGAGGAAGCCACCTTCACTGCTTCACTTCAAAGCAGTGAGAAGGACAAATACCCAGGACAGAAGGCTACCTGATAATTAAAACCCACCTCAACTTTCATAACCAAGATGTGAATGTTTACAGTTCCCTAAAGATGATGGTAAGTGGTTCCTCCCTCATTTTTAAGCTTTAGGAAGAATCTATAAATAACTTTTAAATCAGTTCACCTTTTTTTCTCACCACTTTGTTTTTATTAGCTCTATAAAAGACTTCGGTTCTGACATATGTAGCATTTTCCATTAGCACCATGGCTCCCATAGCCAGATAAAAGCAGAAGGCAATGAAAAGTTAAGAAAACAAAGAGGTAACTCAACCTCAAGAAAATAAAAATGGCCCCTCTCACGCAAGAGAATAAAAAATGTGATTCAAACTCAAAGTCAAGCCAATTGTACAGTTGTTTCGCACCTACATGCTTAAATGTCTTTAAAAGTATAGACATTTTCTTACATCATCATAATCATCAGCCATTATCATACTAAGAAAATTATCGACAATTCCCTGGTATTAGCCAATAATCAGTTCATATTAGAAATTCCCCCGTTTCAAATTTAATCTTTCCTATTGGCATGTTCAAAATAGGATTCTAACAGCTTCGTATGTTGCATTTGGTTGTTATACCTCTTTTATCTCTTTGAACCTAAAGTGATCATCACCACTTTCTCTATTTTTATTAATGCCACTGACCTGCTGATGAAACCAGGTCACCTGTCCTGTAGAATGTCCCACTTCTTGCCCCTTGGAAATGTTATCAGAAAGTCATTTAAATAGGGATTATTTTGCCCTCTTGGCAAGTTGCTTTATAGCCCCATTTTTTAGGAACTTTGAATTCCTTTGTAGATAGATAGTGGTGGCAGCCACAGTCAGAATTCTCTGGAGTGGGATTTCCAAAAGTTGTCTGAAGACCTGGACTATGGCAACAGTCTCCCATTTGTCTTGTATATTCGTTTCTTGTCCTCCCTACACCCCACCCCACCCCACATTCCTCTCTTCCCAAGACATCCAGCATAGTCTAAAAATGGAAGTCAGATTCCTATCTCCTTAAAACTTCTCTAATGATTACATTGGAACAAAAGCCTAAGGTTTAAGCAGGATCCACCTGACTCCACCTAATCTGGTCTCTACCCACCTCTCCAACATCCTTGCAACCTTCTTCTGCTCTCAAACACATAAAACTCTTTCAAGCTTTAAGCCTTTGCATTGTTTACAGATTCTACCTGGAATGCCTTTCCTTCAGACCACTGCACGGCATGCTGTTTACCTTCATTCAGGCCTCACCTCAAAGATAATCTCAGAGGGCTATGCCTGGAATACCCAAACCCAATAAACTATGCCCCACTCACACCTTGCTTTAGCTTTTCACCTTACTTCTTTCCATAATAGTACTCATCACATCTGCAACTGTCTTAATTACTTCTTTGCATACTAGATCATCTCTCTTGAATTCATTGGTTTTCCTAGGACTTCTCACTACCTGATATTTCCTATGTGTTAATTTGCATGTTTAGTGTCTGTCATGTTTCATTGGAATGTAAGCACCATGAGAGCAGGAAACTTCCCGGCCTTGTATTCCCAGTGCCTAGAACTGTGCCTGGGACATGGCAATTGTTCAATGAATCTTGATGACTAAATGAACTTCTAACAATAGCCAGATTGCTTGTATACCAGATAGTTCCAATCTCCAGATGATTTTTACATCAGGTTAAAAAGTGCTATTGAGTATATGTATTAGAAGATCTAAGAGAACCTCACACTTTATGTTTTTTAAAAATCAGAATACACCCTGGCTGGTGTAGCTCAATGGATTGAGTGCAGGCCTGTGAGCCAAAGGACTGCGGTTCATTTCCCAGTCAGGGCACATGCCTGGGTTGCAGGCCAGTCCCCAGCAGGGGACACATGAGAGGTAACCATACATTGACATTTCTCTCCCTCTCTCCTTCCCTTCCCCTCTAAAGATAAACAAATAAAATCTTTAAAAAAATAATAATACCTATTTAAAAAATCAGAATACTACTCATATTTTCTAACCTGTATTTGATGGGAGAAAAACAATATTGTCTATCTTTGTAACCATTTACTTCTTATGTCTAGCAAACAATTCTACAACAAAATGACTTATTTTCCCACTGCTCCAAAGCTAATATGCTCTCATTATTTTGTAAAAAGAGAACTCTATATGCATTATTATAGATTCACTTAATTGATTTTTCCCATGCAAGCACTGCAATAGCACAGCTGAATATTTGCAGTACAATCATTATGCAATTTATATATCAAGATAGAGAACATAATTTATTCAGTATTATCCTTGGTAGTTATTATTGAGCACTTTAATTTCCAATATGTAAAGGCAAGTGTGCTCTCTGAATTCAACAAAAGAAAAACACTCACTAATAGAGTAAATTAACATAATGGACTCTGTGAACTAAGCTAATTACTTGTGTCTAAGCCTGCAACACAGAAACTAATGACATGTAACAGATGAGAAAGTCACTACCTTCATCACTGTTGACTGACACAATCTCAAGCACAGTGCCGTACTCACTTCCATCAGTAACTTGAATCCTTCTCTTTTCTTGATTTCTTCTACCAGGTACCTAAAAAAAGAATCACACAATCATTTTTATCATCTGAAATCTAAAAACTCCATGAGCATGACTGGCAAATGACAAAGCTGTCATTCCCAAAGCAAAGACAAGGCTTAGAAATGCAAGGCTTAGCAATAAGGAAGGGCACAGGTATACGCATAGGTATGGGTTCTGACAGATACTCCTGAACCTACTGCAAAATTCTGGGACCTAGGTATAAAGATACATTTTTTGATGAGATGATGTCTATCTCACGTGTTAGCATCAGACTTTATCCCCATTGTGAAAGCCACACAAATTAGATTGGAGATATATATATATATATATAGGCCTGCTCAGATTCACATTCTAGATGGGTATTTAGTATAGGTACTTAAATTACCTAGCTGGCTTGGGGAGAAAGTTTCTGGTGTGTAGTCCTGCTTGTAATTTCATTCAAGATAAAGGAAGCACAGCATCATTTTTTCCAAGGCCAGGACTGAAGGAAGAAGAACTGATTACTGGTATCATGTTCAAGTATGTGGTTTGTAGCCATTGGTAAAATGTCTATGAACTCATTTTGAATGTCAGGGAAAAGAGAATGATCACTCCATAAGCAAATGATACAGATATACGAAATATGGAATATGATAGAGAAAAGACTAAAATGACATTGAGAATATAAAGTAAAGGAACAGTGGTACCTTTCCCCTGGGATTGATTACTGCCCACATAAAAAGAGAAGCCTTCTGAAATGGTTGGCCTTGAAAACTAGCAATTGACTATGAGCCTTGAAAACTTCATAACACTAGACTCAATATTTCAAATTTGGTGGTCAAATACAAGAAAATGATTGGGGTGCTGACAAAAATGTACTTGCTAAGGTATTTATTGTGATTTTATATGTAACAACAACAAAAGAAAACAGGAAGGGCAGGGAGGAACATTAAACCCAGGAATGAGGACTGGCTTTGAAAACTGTGGTCCAGTCATGTGGAATTATGGTATGACCATATGAAATATGATCATGTCACTAAGTTACATAGTCAATTAACATTTAAGGACAATACAAAAATGCACTTCTTTGGCCTCAATTCCCTTACCTGTAGAACTGAAATAACACAATCTACTTTTCCAGTCTCAAAAGGTTGTTGATAGTTTTTTGAAATTTACATTAAAAATTGTGAAGAATGGAAACTGTGAATAGGGGTCATCATTACTATTATGTTAATTTGCTAAAGGCTATTCTAGAATGTCAATGTAGAATATACCAGTTAACGGGACTCAATTCTTTTTTCCCCAAACTTGTTTATATAGCTTTTCACACATGGTTAAATATTGATGATTAGCATATAGGTTATATCATTTTTGAATTGTACAAAATCTTATAGAATTCTATCCTTATTGACTAAATAATATAGATCCTTCATTTTGAGCAATAATGTTGTGACCAGACCTCTCCCTCCCCCACACACATGCTCACCAAGAATTTGATGTTTTGCATACTCTTTTCCCTGAATATTTCTTCAGGAGATGCTCTGTAGCTACAAAGTTTTGAACCTTTAGCACACTGCCTAACTCACACACACACATACACACACACACACACATACACACACACAAAAACCTCTAGTGGTTAGTAAAAAATCAGAAGATGCTCATGTTCACTAATAATAAAAGAAGTGAAAATTAAAACATTATTGAACCACATTGCCCATGTGATAATAAAAACAAATTTTAAGAGAGACAACACTTAATGCTAGTGGAAATGTGAAAGAAAGCTGCTATAAATCTTTTCAAATGAATAACAGTCATATCTTCTGATGTAGCAAACCACTCTTGAGATGCTGATCAACCAGGAAAAAAATCATCACTAATACACACACACACACATCTACACATACATATATATACACATACATATGTATACACACATTATAGTATCTAAATCTGTATGTGCAATCCATACAAAATAACTAGAAACAAGATTAATGTCCAGAAATTGGCAAATCATAAAATATAATATATTACACCAACACAATGTAATACAAGGCAGCTATTTAAAGAAATGGATTAAAGAAATTTAAAGAAATTCACTGAGCCACACCAGCCTCTTCTAGGCTGGTGTGGCTCAGTGAATTGAGTGCCAGCCTGCAAACCAAAGGATTGCTGGTTTGATTCCCAGTCAGGGCACATGCCTGGGTTGTGGGCCCCCAGCAGCGGGTGAGAGAGAGGCAACCACACATTGATGTTTCTCTCCCTCTCTTCTTCCCTCTTTTCCCCTGTCTCTAAAAATAATTAAATAAAATATTTTTAAAAAATAAAAATAAAAATAATGGATTATGTCTACTTTGATCACACCACTTTGATTACACTACAGGGATTCTTATGATGTATTAGTAAGACATAAAAGCAAAATACTAAGAAATGTGGATAATATGATTCTACTTTTTAAGAAATTGTAAAAAAGAAAAGCAAAAGTAAGCCCCACCCACAATTATATATGATGACAAAGTAAAGGACAGAAAGATACAAATAAGTTGTTAATGTTTACCTAAAAAGGGAGGGAAAACGATGCGACAAGGGAGGTAGAAATTATTAACTCTTTTTATATTTCTTTGCAAAGTTTCCTAGACATGGCTACTTGTGGGATTTTGCAAAAGTACTTAATAAAAGGTAAAGTGTAAAGCACAAAACAAAACAGACATATACAATCTCTACCCAAGGACAGCTCGTGAACCAGTTTTTTCTTCACCTTTTCAGGCAGAAATGTACAGATAATCTGTTAACTCAAAAACTGACGCAATCCACAGTTCACCCAGAGGAGGCCTACACTAATCCTGGACTCCCTGAGGCTGCAAAAGAGCTTTGTACCTCCAGAAATGCTCGGTATGATTACAGCGGATTCTACTTGTGTAGCTAATGGACTTTGTGACTTAGCAAACTTCTCAGCCTCCCTGAGCCTGCCTCAGTTTCCTCATGCATGTAACGGAGATGGGAACAAGATTGGTCAAATCCTTCCCTAACAGATTACGATGGTATGAAACTTACACACACTACCTATAGTCTCAATTTAAAACATTTCTGTCAAATATGCTAAAACTGCTCCCAGGAGAAAGGCATCTTAAAGCAGAGCCAAACCATTTCGATTAGAGCTCTGCTTTCTGCTAACAACGTGGAGCTGGGTTTTGAGTCAGGGTCAAGGTCCCTACTCTAGTCACCCTTGGAGCCTATAAAGCCCAGTGTAACACTCCAACTGCATTGAGGGTGGAGGTGATTTGGGTGGAGACTTGCCATTATAACAATAATAAAAGGTTTACTCCAAAGTCCCCAAACCATGCTCTATGACATGCCACATCAATAGTTTTGCCACATAAAAAAGTTCTGCTGCGGCCCTGGCTGGTGTAGCTCAGTGGATTGAGCGCGGGCCTGGGATATAGACAATCGCGGTTCGATTCCCAGTCAGGGCACATGCCTGGGTTGTAGGCTGGTTCCCAGCAGGGGACGCATGAAAGGCAACCATACACTGATGTTTCTCTCCCTCTCTCCTTCCCTTCCCCTCTAAAGATAAATAAATAAAAATATTTTTAAAAAAAGTTCTGCTGCCAGATACATCTGAGCAATGGCTGGACATATCAGTTCGATTGCTCTTGTCTACAATTAGAAATACACTGGGCTTAATCTATAAGGCCATTTATCAAGCTGGTTACATGGTTCAATGCTGTAATCAAGAACGAGGCATTATCACTGCAGTCCGCCAAACGCTCAGCATTAGTGAATTCTCTCCTGTTGGACAAGACATCTGCCACAGCCCCATACATCACATCCTTGCACAACAGTGTCCCAAGAAGAGAAAGAAGGGGTGGAGCAGAAGTATTTTCTCTTCCTCTCTCTCTATTTACATAAGAATATTTTCCTCAGGTGCCTTCACAGAATTCTTTCTGTATCTCATTGACTGAAGCTGAGTCGTAGATCCAACCCTAAAGTAATTGTTGGCGATGGGGATTGGCTTGCACTGATGTTCCCAGCTAGAATTTTGCTACCTAAACAAAATCAAGGTTCTGTTGGCAAGGAAAAGGGAAAAAATGGCTGTTGGGTGAACAATGAACAGTGTCTGCATACTGGTGAAAGCTCAGTAAAAATATTTCTATATTACAAGCCCCCTCAGAGCCTTTAATGTGCTAATGAACACTGAACCTCCAAGAGACAAATAACAGAGTCATTAGCATTTCCCAAGCATATTTGACCATGAAAATATTTTTTGGAAGAACATTTATTACGATGTTCTGGAAGTCTATTATCCCACAGAGCATACTTTCAGAAATGCTAGTTTAGAAGTGCCTCTTCTATAGGGCACCTTACCCTTTAAAAAAATAATAAATGCTTAAATGCAATGAGTTTGGGGAGGGAATCAAAATAAGGTTTTGAGTCACTTCTGCCTACATTCACAGGAATGATTTATTCCTCACTTTTCAATATACGGAAACAGCCTAGAAATGAAATACATTTTTTAAAAACTATTCTTATCTGATGCCAGCCCCCAAAAAAGATGCACAATGAGTTTGGGGACCTAATGTAGGAATCAGAAGCCACTTCTACCAAAAAGCATCCAGGTAAACACATTCAGAAAGCAACAATAGCTTCATAAAATTCATCAGCATCCTTCTCACTAGGCTTAGCAAAATGAGAAAAGAGATTAAAAAATACATCAGCAAGAATTTCACCAAACCTACTGGGTAAAAAATATTACATTAAGGTTCTGGCTTGATTTTGAAGCATATATTAATGACAATCTTGCTCTAAAACACTTCCTGTTCCTTTGCGTAAAAATGCGCTTCTAGCATGAGATACCCTCAATTCTCTGATCTGCTGAGTTTAATATTTTAGCATTTCACTTGTCCTTTCTGGAAATAGTCTTTTGGGGCCCTTTCTCAGTTCACCAGCCACTTAGTCATCCTGGAGCACACTGGACCACATTTCTCTCCCAGTCTCATCTCCTCATTTGAAATTTTTCTGATGCATGGAGCCTCACAGAACTCCTGGGAGTTTTCTTCCACCTGCTTTCTGTATGCTGTGCATTTATTAAGACATATGGCATGGCTTGTGATTCACCACAAACACCTGCATGCTACACTCTACTGTAATTGTGATTTCTTTTTTAAATTACCAATATAAAAAAGAAAAAAGAAAACATTGGCCCTTCATAGGCTTCCGGGCTCTCTTCCTCGTTACCTAGAAAAACACACTAACACCAAACTGCATTGTGTAAACTATTCACTTTTTCCATGCAGACAACAATAAATCCCTCAGCATTCATGCAAGTCAGTGAAATAAATTCCACTGGAGAAATTACAGAGATTGTGTGTCAAGGGGATAGATAAATGATACATTGGAGACCTAACAAGAGCAGAACGGGAGCTCATGAACTGTCTGTTGTTGTTGAGAAGACTTACACACGTGACTCTTCCAGATTGGCTTTCAGAATCACCCCTTAGTGAACATCCATTAACCCGAGTGCCATAACAAAAGCCCAGAAGGTGCCCTCGGCAACAGGTTGACTTGGGTATTGTAAGGGATTTTTGACTTTCTGAGTCAGTATTCCAAGATGCACAATCCCCTGCCTTGTGCTGGAGATGGTGATTTTAAACCCCAGCTTTCTGGTTTCAATCAAATGGTGCTTTTGGTTCCCTATGCCACTGGTTTGCAAACAACCTGAGGAGAAAGCAAGCTGTTCGTCATTCGCATTTCTTCTGAGAAATGGGCTGTCATCAACCAGAATGGCGGGTCAAATGGAAGTTAGGAAAGCCTTCAAGATCTTCCAGGCAATACATTGCTTCCTTCTCGCTGGATTTCTGACAATTGATAAAATGGGAGTCATTGTCCTCTTGAAAATGCCGGTTCTTGCTTTCCCAGGGGAAGCGAGAGCGAACTATATGATAAGGCTGATGGCGGTTCATTGGTACAGCAAAATCCGGTCCTTAAATCTTAAAGGCAACATAAACACTTCAAAGCTAAGCTCTATTCTGATTCATGAACATGAAAACACTGCTTCTATGGGGTCAGTACCATTCTTACTGCAAGACTTCAGGGAAAAAGAGTTGTGCGGCTTTTCCAGTGTTTAAGAGACCTGACCTGGAGCCTAGGGAAATGGAAATCTTAGCTACTTTAGGTTGCTGACACTAAAGATGCATGTCAAATACTAACCCAATCCTCATTTGCGTGTTGAGTGTGCTGGAGCTCATATCTACTGAGGGATCTTTTACTTCTCGGAAACGAAAGTGCCAATCGGAAATTATAGAAATTATGCCAGATAGAGCCTCATACCACAAATGAGAATCGTTTTTATTATGTCATATCTAAAGCAAGTGCTCTAGGGTCAGTGGGTGTGGTGGAAAATGGTATTTTAACTCTCATCGGTCAGTGCTTTGAACTGATTATGCTGGCTCACATAATCAATGGCGGGCTAGAGCTAGAGCTAGGGCTAGACTGTGCTGGCTAGTGAGAGCTAATTATTAAATGTTCCAGGATTTTGTAACCCACCACTGTCGACAGCTCACAATTTTCCACGATGGGAATTTGCTTCGTGGACAACGGCAGATGTAACACATTAGGGCCTTTTCCTCCTGAGAGCCTGTTTGCAGGTGGCCCGCTGCACATGAGCTCCAGCAAACAGAGCAGCTCCCAGAATTGGGAAATTGTTCCTCTTTTCCTGAAGAGCAGGACCACAGAGCAATCAACCAATTTAAACGGAAATAAAATCACGCAAATAAAGGCCTTATGTTGCTATGTTAATACAATTCTTAATCCCAGAGAGGCTTTTCCCAAGTTTATAATTTTATATCCATGCCAAGTGGCATGCATTAAAAAGACTTAGCTTTTGCTTAGTATTGCAGGTGGGAAAGCAGGATGGCTTTTGCTCACCGCAGGAATAGAATGTTGGAGATTCAGAATGCGGAAAGTTCAAGGGAAAAACTTTTATGAGTGACAGCATGAAAGAGGAGGGATTATTTTTCAAATAATTAAATATAGGTCACAGAGCCTGCAACTATGCTCACTGAAATGTTAATTCCATTCAATTCGGCCAGACAAACCTTTACAAACAATAAGTGTTGTTGAATTGAATTGAAATGTTCACATTTATCCTCCGGATAATTTCTCTGCAAAATTTAGAAAATCTCCTTTGACTCTAAATTAAATTCCACCCTGAGATGAATGTTAACTTTATAATAAATACAATCATCAAATATTTATATCTAGCCTGCTTCAAGACGCCTGTTATTGAATTACTTAGCAGCTTAGATAAAATAATGCAGAGATTCTACCACACTTAAGTAGTATAAGAAAACACAGAAGAGTGAACAGATATTTCTGGACTGTCATTTTACTTTAATGAGCAACTATCAGTATTTGTAGTAGACTGTTCCATTACTTCACCAGTGGGTAGTTATCTCCCTATTTCTGATCCAGGCACTGAAGCCGTACTTGTAACAGAGGCACGGTGCTCACCTAGTTTCAGTATATATTCTATAGCAGGAACTGACGATCTCCCCAGTGAATTCCAAGGGAGGGCATACAGGGGCGCATGGCCAATGGGAGCGTCACCTTCCCCTGGCAACAGCAACCTATTCAGAGATGGATGCTTAACTTCACACGGAAATAATTTAAAATTTCCTCAGGATCGTTGAGTGAGGAGAACTCTCTCCTTTGACCTTGAATTTGAGCTTGGGAGGATCTATATCTCACACCCCTGGCAGCTACCTTCCTACATAAGAATAAACTAAACATGAAGGAGAGCAGACCTGATAGATGGAGAGAAATTGAGGCCTGCTGGTATTGTATAAGCCCCTAGAATAAGCCATTCCAGAAGTCATCACTATACTAGCTTATAAATAACCTGAGATAATAAATTATCTTCCTTAGTTTATAGTACCTTGAGTTAAGGTTTCTGTCAGTTACCACCACAAGTGTTAACCGATACAATATTCACAGAATTTTCAAACTACTTCTTAAAGCATAATCACCAGAACTGTTGACTTCTAATGGTCTTCTGAAAATGCCAAAGCCATCTCTTTACCACTCCTTATATCTGAGCCATTTGACAAGTAACTTTGCAGTTCTTGCAAAATGGCAGAGTGTACTTCCTGCCTTTTGACATTGAACTTGGCTATGTGATTTGCTTTGGCCACTGGAATGATAGTAAATATGACACAATCAAGAGGTTAACGTGGGCTTGCCTTATTGGGCTTCTGTCAGCCCCATTATAAGAACACTCTCTGGCTGGCCTGCTGATCCAAGAAAAATGAAAGAAATGTGCAGGGTGGACCCGGTCCCTTCCCTTCTTCCTTACAGCCACCAAACCCCACAGCCACCAAACTGAGATGAAACCACTCCAGCCAACTTGAAGACCTCTTAGAATAAATAACTGTTGTTATAAAATACATTTTCAGACAGTCTGAAGTAACGTTCAGAGCATCACTGTTGCAGTGTTGCACAGAGCACCCATACCATTCCCAGTATAGAAAAGAGAAATTGTTTTAAGTCTCTAAGGACACACTTAAGGTTTTACAAAAGAAGTGTGAACAGGGAGTGAAGAAGGAGAGATTATCCAAAGCAGAGATCACAAGCTCTGATGCCTATAGTGGCCAAATAGGTTTAAAAAAATTATATATATATATATACACACACACACACACACACACACATATATATATATATATATATATATATATATATAACTAAAGCTCATATAGCATGTAGTATATGCCAGGTACTGTTTTGAGTATTTATGAATAGCAATTCATTTAATTCTCATAACAATAATTATAGTTAGAGGCTGTTGCTTTCTCCATGTTACTGGGAAGAAACAGAGGTACAGAAAGGTTAAGAAACTTGCCCAAGACACACAGCTTATCAATGGTAGGGCAGCACCTCTACACTATAATAAAATAGGGTATGAGTTAAAAACAAACAGGAGGAAGTAGAAAGGCCATGGCTCCCCAGAGAGTCAGGCATCACATTCAGCAGCTTGTCACCATGTGGGATTGAGAGCATTCTGATCTTTCCATAGCAGCCCAAAAAATCTAGATTTTTAACAAATTTCTCTATTTTTAAATATTTTAAATATTCAAATATTTGATTTCTTAAACACCATGAAACTCTACAGTGTTCAAGCCAAGAAATGACATTTAAAACTAAATTTGGCCATGGCCTGGCCAGTGGCACCCACTGATCCAAGCTTAGGAGCAGAGTCCAGTTCAGGTGGCAAATGTCCGCAGTTATATATCAAGAGTGGTCTGGTGCACCATGTACCTTCCTTATCAAAAAGTAGCTTCACCAGTATTTTGTCTGCTTGGCATTTCAGTGTATTCCTTATTGGCTAAGACCCTGGAGGGCAGAGGGCGGGACTGCTTTGTTCGCAATTCCTAACACATAGTAGATACTGGAGAAATGGTTATCAGATAAAAGAATGAATGCATAAATGAAATAACATGTAGAGATCTTGCAAATGTTACTGTCACTGAGTCTATTACAGACATACATGGACACACACAAGTACCTAGACAAAGCAAGAGCACGATTCACTCTTTCTTCAAGGCCTAATGTGCCCAGGGCCTTCCAACTCATCCAGAACTTGAACGCATCTGGTCTCCTGCTACACTGGATAGACTTGTCTCCTGTGTCGTAGCTGACATCATAGAATTTGTCCTGCTGGAATAGGTAAGATGCTTTGGCAGAGTAGCATTTCTTAAGAAGATCCTTTTGGGAGAAGAAAAAAAAAAGGAAGATCAAACAATTGTCCATTTTTAAAATACACTTGATTTCAAAAACAAACACCAAGACTGAATCTGTACAATATTCTACAACTTTGTGCCAAAGGTGTTTGGTCTCATTCTACATCTGTCCTATTTCAGAAGCAATAGACATGTGTTCACTTGGAGATGCAGATTACCCATTGTGTTTCTTAAAAAAAACTCAGAGTTGAGAATGCTAAATCCGTTCTCAACAATTTTACTGATGAGTACTCAGAAGCTTTAAGACAATCATGTCATCATCTGTATGATATCAAGGTGGGCCAATGGCTCAAGATGAAATAAAATCTGTCTACAACTCACTCAAGGCTCCACAGTGGACAAAAGTCCCTAACATATTGTACATACTTTACGCAATTCATATGCAAAAATACTAGGCTTTTAAAACATTTTTGACTCATATCTGTATTGAAAAGGCAAGAAGTAACAATAACCCAGGGATCAAAAAACCTGAGGAAAGAGCTGTGGAAGAGCTAAACAAGTGCCAAAAAGTTTTAATGACCATAAAATATCAGCGAGAATTCCAAAGTGTTTTGCTGGGCTGGTCTCACATTGGTTTTACTTGCAACCAAATTCAATTTCCATTTACCGACTGGTTACTTCTTATCAAACAGTGTATGGCAATTCACCATGTTTATTGCCATTCTAGAGTCTTCATTTGACCTCAAATTATTAGAGTTTAAGCCATGTTGCCCTCAATGTCATTTGGTATCTACAAAGCCCCATATTTTCTAACCTGTCTCTTGAGCCCCCATAACTCCTTAATCATCTTCATTCCCCGAGAATGCCTACTAGAAACATCTGTCCACCCTCCTTTACCAAGTCATAACCAAACTACTCAATGTCCCTTAACCACTAGCTCATGCCCCATATGTATGTTTGCTCACGCCAATTGCTTGACCTTGTCTCTATTTTAAATAAACATGACACATTCCAAAGAACATAGGCAGTATATATATTCTGCAGTTTACTAACAGAATAGTCTTCCCTCTTTAATTAGGTCTGCCATTCCTTTGGATCCTATCTCAAGTTTTGCTTCCCCTTCAGCTTCTTTATTTTACCACCCCATTGGACTCACTTTCTCTTTTTATATTTGGCTGCATTTGTTGGCTTTACCCCTGCACTACCCCTACTCAATGAGCAGGCTGCATGTATTTTCTCCTCTCGTGGACAAGCCCATTCTTCAGAGCAGGAATCATTTCCCAGCCATGTCCACATCCACAGAGCTTAACACTGAATTGGACACAGAGGACCCTCACTAAGCAATTAGGGTGATAATGTCCCTCCACATATTCCAAACTTCTCTCACATTCCCCTGACATGCAGTATGGACAGACAAACACAGATATGTGAACTTCTTATTCGGTGCATCTTCCAACTCTTAATAATGTAAAACTACCACTCCTGTATAGGAAGCTGTAGAGAAACTCCCCAGGAATAATAGAGGTTCTACAAAACGATCCCTTCTGAACAGAGAATGTATAAGATGTTCTCATTTTACTAATCAACTTGTACTTGAAGAACAAAATCTCAGGGCATCCCATTCCAAACAAAAGCATGCATTTGCTATCTTAATAGAAATATTGACTTGTGTGGACACTAATCTGGATATAATGTGTTCTATTACCATAAAGCATGATTTTATACTATGTAAAAAATTATATACTAACTATAATCAAGGACCCCCAAATCCCACTCATCCATTATCCAAAATAAACCAAGTATAAAATAATAATTACACTAATATTAGCAAGCCTCCAGCCTGGCTTTCATGATTATTATTGGTAGACACTGGAGAAGAGGTGATTGCTCTGATCTGAATATTAAGGCAGAAAAAACTCCTTACTCTTCAAGCTACTTTGATTCTACCAGCAATCTCTCAACTCTGATCACAGCTGCCACCACTGCATCTCCCTACCCTCAATGTCAGGAAATTTGGTTACTGTTTCCATAGCAACTACAGCCTGACCATGCATCATAACATTAAAAGGCCACTGTACATATTTTAAAGACAAAGCCTACACACACACACACACACACACGTACTGGCATCATGATTATTAATTTACTTTCATCCACCATGAAAGATTCAAAAAAAGTCCCAAAGCAGATGAACTTTAAACGTCTTGGGCAAGTTTCAGTGACTTATGCTGGTGGCTGTAAGGGAGAAGAAGTCCATTCATTATCAGAAGACAAATTGCATCATCACAGGCAAATGCAGAAGAGCAGAGCCAAGAAAACATAGAACAGAGTGAGTGATTGTCCTGCAGTAGTGACACTGTTAGTTTCATTGCACTGAAAAGTCCTCCTGCCTTGGGTAGCTTTCCATAAAGAGCAGCTGGAGGCTTGGGATTTACCTTATTGAAAATAAATGAAAACTTTCCCCCCAAAGATTCTGCTTTGCATTTTAGTTTATATTCTTGTATTAAAATGGATGAGATGTGTTTTAAGATACAAATCAATAAAGGGAAGATCTCCAGAGAAAATAACAATTTTGGAATAAGAATAGTAAAATTTAACATTTTTATGTTTTAAGTGGAAATCACTTAATTTGTCACTGTACTATCAAAGAGAAGGCCAATGTTTATTCTGCTCAACTTCATACGCTTAACCCTAGCAGGGCAGTAAACAGTAGTTACACTAATTCCAGAGACAAGTGTTCAATGAGAATACCAATTGCTTTGTATTGTGATATCTCAAACAGTTTTCATGAGTAGTAGACAATATATGAGAACTTTCCAGTGGCAAGTGAAAGGAAATGCAATCAAAGTAGCTGAAGCAAAAAAAGGGGGGCATTTTTATAGGCTCATATTTTAAAAAATCCACATATATAAAATTTTCGGGCACATTTGGATCCAGGACTAAATCTGTAATTTGCCTTTTCCCTCTTGCCCTACTTTCTTCTGTATTGGCCTCATGCCTACAGGAGAAAACTGGTAAGAAGCCTATGAACCAGGGCTTCCAGTGGGGGCCTGTGAGGATGACAGGAGGTTCTGTTGGAGGGAAATGTGAAAGGAAAAAGAGACAGTCAGAGATGCTGATGCTGCTATCCAAGCAGCAAGTCATCATTGGCCTCCCAACCTCAGTCTCTCATCTGAACCTTCTGCTGCTTAAATCTAGCAGGAAGCCAATTAGTAAGGAAGACTAGGAAATGTGGCTTTTGGGAGTCAGGCCCCCTTCACAGCAAAGCAGAGGAAGGCTGAAGAATGAATTACACAGCAAAGAGAGCAAATGCCAAGCACACTGCAGGAGCACAGAAACCGTAACTTTCCTTTTCACTGTTGTGTTCCCAACACCTAACCTAGCACATGATAATATGGGCCAGAGCCAACATTTATCAAGTCTTTACTAGGTGTTAGGCACTGTATATGTATGAATTAATACAACTCAAACAGTATTCCTTTTGTTAACGTCACTGTAAGTGTTGAAAAACTGCAACACAGCGAAATTTGGTGAATGACCTAAGATCATGTAGCTGGTAAGCGGTAGGGCTGGGCTTCAAACCCAAGGCTGCATGAATCCAAGGTTTAAGCTCTTTACACATTACGTTCTACTCTCTCTATAGTGAGCTCTTAAATATACGTGGAAGAGAGTGCCCTATAAACACTCATTACAAGTTCTTAAAGATAGATTGGTAAAATGGGAAATGGCAGCAGAGAAGTCATCAAACTAAAGGTCAAAGCAACTAACATGCCATTTCAGGCCCTTAAGTTTGTTCCTGTGAATATGACCTCAGGTCTTACTAGTGGTACCATCTTGTCAATGAAGTATTTTGAGATTTTTCTAAGTAATTGTGACTCTCATGATATTTAAGGATATCACTAAAAAGACATAATACATCAGGAGGTTGTATATTCTCCTTGTCAAGATTAGTCAAGTTATCTTTGATTTCTACAGGCTAGATCAGATTCAACTTATCAAAAAAAAGCTACCAAAAACTTCCCATATTCTGTTCCCCTATCACTATTACTTACATGCAAGACACTATCTAAATTAAATGTCCTAGGAAATGGGCATATCGATCATCTTTGCACTAACTAATTCATTCCAAAATTATATACTGAGGACCTATTTTATAATAAGCAGTATGAGGCCAGGAGTTCAGGCCTACAACCCCAATGGAAGTCCCAAGCATCTAAGCTAACATTTGTTGATTGAATGCGCAAAACTAAATTTAGGCTGTGAATAGCAGAAAGGCTTGGTTGTAATGTAGGATACAAAAGCAAATTTTTAAAAAGATATACCTTCTGATATTTGCTTTATTTCTTGAGCAAACATTTTGAGAGCCTTAACATATGCCAAAAGCTATGGTAGGCACTGGTGCTATAGTGTCACTATCCTTAAGAAGTTTAAGAGGGAGACAGGCACAGAAAAACAGGCAATTAGAATAAAGTGCTAGAATGAGGGAAAGAATAAGATCCAAGGAGCACGAAGAAGGGTCCTCGTTCACTAATGCAGAGATGTTAGATAGGGCTCTTCAAAAGAAAGAATGTGTCACCTGAGAGCTGAAGTAGGAGATAAGGAGTAGCTGAGTAGTAGAAGGGAAGGTAAAATTAATTCAGTATCACTGGGGCTAATTAATGAAGTAGGGCATAGCTAGGAAGGCTGTAAAGGTAAAAAATAGCCAAGTCACCAAGGATATTAACAGCCACGTAAGAGTGATTGGTCATGGAATTTCTGCAGGTTCGTGTAGATATTACAACTTGAACTTCATTATTGTTCTGGCAGAATAAAGTGAGAATCAGCAGATGTGGACACAGCTTCTGATTTAGTCACTTGGTGTCAGAGCTCAAAGCAAGTCACTTACCATCTTGGGCTTCATTTTTCTCATTGACCTAATGGAGATAATACTTGTTCTACCTACTATACAGGAATACTGTGAAAACTTAGTGAAATAGTGTTAAGTGGGAACACCTCTCAGTTTTTGATCAAAATCCTTCCCATCAG